AGTCGCTGATAAGGATCCTAATAACTTCTCGCCTTATGACATTCAGGCTGGTGAGTTGATGATTGGCGCCGACCTCATTCCCTCGCTGCTGATAACCACTTCTGCCAGCCCTCGTGTCATTCCTATTACCTCCAATTTGAATGCAGTAGAGACCCGCCTGGGCTACTACCTGCAGGGCTCTCAGTGCAGCGCACTTGACTTCTTTTTCTGTTAATTTCAAGCCAAATTTTCTTAACATTTTCAAATAGTAAAATTGTTTAGGCAATCCAATTCATTTTGATTACTACATAGTATTCTGTTTAGTAGCAGTAATTATGTCGAGCTGACGCTGCAGGAGTTTTTCTGCACTTTATCTAAGTTTAAGCACAGTATGGACTTTATTCCTCTTCAGAGAATTAAGCATTCTCGTACTTCTTACCTTTTTTCAACAGTGGAGTCCTGCAGAGAGGAGAAAAGTGTGTGTGTTTTAGTGCTTGTGTGTTTGTGTTCTCCAGGGCACAGCACGTCCCAAAGGCCGCTGCAAACGGGCACTAGGTGCCAGTGCTAAATACTAGTGCTCAGTAAAACCTAGCTAGAGCCAGTTCGGTCCTGACTGCTTGTGAAACCTAGCCACACACAAAAAATATTCAGTCATAAAATCGAAAGGAGCAATCATGGCAAATGCCTGCGTTTTTTTTATTTGGAGCAGCTTTTTCAGACACCTGCTCAACCTTTTTACAGTGATCACTTCATCACTCTTCTCCTTCTCATGGGCTCACCTTTTCTTCACTTACCTGCGTTTTCTCTGCTTTTCCAGTCCGGCTCACCAGTTGACTCGTTTGATGGGAAAGTACGCCGAGTCAATGGGTGCCGTGGCAGAGCCAGATCCTAATGATCAGAGCGACTGTGCACGTTTTCGGGCCTTAACAAAAAAGTTTTCTATTCGTCCTACGCTTCTTCTTCGTGCAGTCGTTCCTTCCACCGGATTCTCCGTCACCTTCCGCGGCCTGCTCGACACCGGAGCCACTTGCTCTGTCATCAGCCGAGATCTGGCCACAGTGCTCTTCGAGGAGGGAGGTGCCAGTTTTGAGTACATTTGGCCACAGTATTTTTGTGCCCCTTTTCATGAACGCCCATGGAGACTGCAATACCGAAAAGTTGTCGATGTAAAGTTTCAGTCAGTAGAAGACGAGACAACAGAGTGGACACTGCCTTCGATCCATGTGGAAGAATGCAAACCAAACATGTCGGGGTGTCATTTGCCCGTTGATTTGCTGGTTTCGAAAATGGCTTCACTGAAACTGCCTATAGTGTCCAGTGCTGGACTGGGAAGGACAATGTGGACTAAAAGTGAACAACAGTAAGTTTTTAATTTTTTAATTTTTATTTTTAGTAAAACGTATTTTAATTTTTGACAAATTTTTCACTTCAACTTAAAAGTTTCGAGCACCGCGTGGACATGCTCATCGGTCAGGACCTGTTGAATGCCCACTTTAACGTTCATCCTCGCCAGCCGACGTACCACATCAGCTCCTCACTGGTGCTCTTTCGCACCAAAATGGGACTAGTCTTCATGGGACAGTTCGATACGGAAAAGTTCAAACACTGGACAATGAGTAAAAAGAAGGCTGAGAAGGTGAGGAAAGCACTGTACTCTGAAAACAAAAACAAAACGCTGAAGATGCTTTCACCGGTTCAAGAAAACGATTTATGTCGCATTTTAGCACTTTCTGCACCGCCAATAANTCAGCCGACGTACCACATCAGCTCCTCACTGGTGCTCTTTCGCACCAAAATGGGACTAGCCTTCATGGGACAGTTTGATACGGAAAAGTTCAAACAGTGGACAATGAGTAAGAAGAATGCTGAGAAGGTGAGGAAAGCACTGTACTCCAAAAACAAAAACAAAACGTTGAAGATGCCTTCACCGGCTCAAGAAAACGATTTATGTCGCATTTTAGCACTTTCTGCACCGCCAATAAGCTGGAAAGAACGCGCATGTAAGAAACACACTTTTTCAATTTGTTAACATTTTTCGTTAATTTAAAATTTTTTACAGGGTGTTTTTGTGAAGTTCTTTTTTTTCTGGTCATTTTTGGTATCACCTTCGCCTGCTCACTGCTCATCTGTCTCAATGTTTCAGTGCTCAAATTCCTCCTCATCCTCACTTCGCTTTGCTTCACTGTCCCATCTGCTGTACAGTCACTGTACACAGATCATCTGTTGTTGCCACTGCTCGATGCGACCGTCGAATCCAGATGGTTTCTAAAAATCTTCTTTTTCAAGTTGGGCTATTTTCTTGGGGTTCACCAGTGGCCAGTCAGCCACCTCGATTCGTTGTCTTACCTTGTGCCTCCACTGCTCCCGATCACTGTGAGGGCGCCAACTAACTCTACCACCAGCACTCCCATCACTAAAACGGTGAACGCCTTCATCGACACCGGCGCCTCCGAATCCTGCATTAGCGCCACTTTAGCAAGAGAACTCAATCTGGCGGAGAAACCAGCTGAAGTGATACACTACGCTGGAGATGTCCAGGTAGAACTGGTGGACATTGAAGTCAGCGGGTTTCAGCCTGATCAGAATCAGAACCACGAGGTAGTCTCCGCTCCTTTCACAACTGTCCGTCTTGAGCGGACCTCCATTGATTTTAATGGCCAGTCTGCGTACTGGCACAGCTCATCACAGCTGACCAAGATTGGCCGCCTGGTGGACGTACCAGTGGTGACAGTCGCTGATAAGGATCCTAATAACTTCTCGCCTTATGACATTCAGGCTCATCAGTTGATGATTGGCACTGACCTCATTCCCTCGCTGCTGATAACCACTTCCGCCAGCCCTCGTGTCATTCCTATTACCTCCAACTTAAATGCAGTGGAAACCCGCCTGGGCTACTACCTGCAGGGCTCTCAGGGCAGGGCACTTGATTTATTTTTCTGTCATTTTCAAGCTAAGTTTTCTTAACATTTTCAACTAGTAAAATTGTTGAGACTTTTGATTTTTGAGACTTGAGACAATCCAACTCACTTTAATTAATACAGAGAGTTTTGTTTAGTAGCAGTAACCATGTCGAGCTGACGCTGCAGGAGTTCTTCTACACTTTATCTAATTTTAAGCACAGTTTGGACTCAGGGAATTAAGCATTCTCGTTTTTCTCACCTTTTCTCTCAACAGTGGAGTCCTGCAGAGAGAGAGAGAGAGAGAGAGAGAGAGAGAGTGCCCCAGGACACTGTGTGCTGCAAGGGTCGCTGCTGGGGGCACTAGTGCTGCAATCAGGCCTAGCCAGTCCGCTCTTGACTGCTTGTGAAGCTTATCCACACGCAAAAACATTCAGCCACCAAATCACAAGGAAGCAATCATAGCAAATGCCTGCATTTTCTTGATTTGGAGCAGTTTTTTCAAGCACCTATTTAACCTTTGTACGATGATCACCTCATCACTCTCCTCCTTCTCATGGGTTCACCTCTTCTTCACCTACCTACACTTTCTCTGCCTTCCCAGTAAGGCTATCCACTTTTCCCGTTTGATGGGAAGGTACGCCGAAACAATGGGCGCCGTTGCCGAGCCAGACCCTAATGATAAACGCCAGAGTGCACACTTTTACGTGCAACCAAAAAAATTCATCTCTTGTCCGACAATTTTTCTTCGAGCAGTCGTTCCCTCCACTGGCTTTTCTGTCACTTTCCGCGGCCTGCTCGACACCGGAGCCACTTGCTCTGCAATTACCAGAGACCTGGCCACAGTGCTCTTGGAGGAAGGAAACGCCAGTTGTGAGTACACGTGGCCACAGTATTTTTTTGCTCGTTTCCAAAAACGGCCATGGAGTCTGGAGTATAGAAAAATTTGCGGCTTGAAATTGCAATCAGTGGAAAATGAGGAGGCCCCAGAGTGGACGCTGCCTTCGATCTATGTTGACGAGTGCACTCGAAACTATCTTGTGTGTAATTTGCCCGTGGATTTGTTGGTGTCAAAAATGGCTTCACTGGGACTGCCACTGGTGTCTCAAAGAGGACTGGAGAGGACAATGTGGTCAAAAGAAGAGTTAAAGTACGTGTGTATCTTTTTGTGACACTTTACTACTGCAAAAAAATACTAAGTTTTTTATACGTTTTTTACATTTATCTCTTTTTCTTTTTGTTAGTTCTCAGTACCGCGTGGACATGCTCATCGGTCAGGACCTGTTGAATGCTCACTTTAACGTTCATCCTCGCCAGCCGACGTACCACATTAGCTCTTCACTGATGCTCTTTCGCACCAAAATGGGACTAGCTTTCATGGGACAGTTTGATACGGAAAAGTTCAAACAGTGGATGATGAGTGAGAAAGAGGCTGAAGTAATGAAGAGAGCACTGTACTTCGAAAACAAGGACACAACGTTTAGACGGCTTTCACCGACTCAAGAAGACGAACTATGCTGCATCTTAACTCCCTCTTCACCGCCAATGAGCTGGAAAGAATGCGCATGTAAGCAACAAACTTCTTTCAGTCTAAATACAACATTTTCTGATAATTTAAACAAATTTATGCTCTTCAGGGTGTTTTGTAGAAATTCTTTTTAGTCTGGTCATTTTTGGTATCTTCTTCTCCTTCTCACTGCTCATCTGTCTCAGTGCCACCGTGCTCAAACTCCTCCTCTTCATCGCTTCCCTTTGTTTCACTGTCCCATCTGCTGTACAGTCACTGTACACTGATCACCTGCTGTTGCCACTGCTCGAATTCACCATCGTTATCATGTACTTTCAAATAGCTTTCAGCAAATTTTTGAACAGCTTTTTTTCAGTAAAGCACATTGACTTGGTGTCTCACTATGTGCGTCCAGTGCTCCCGCTCACCGTGAGGGCGCCAATCAGCTCCAGCAGCACTCCCATCACTAAAACGGTGAATGCTTTAATCGATACCGGCGCCTCCCATTCTCGCATCAGCGCTGCCCTGGTTAGAGAACTCAGTCTGGCGGAGAATCCATGCCAGGTGATACACTTTGCAGACAATGTCCAGGTCGAACTGGTGGACATTGAGGTGGGCGAATATCAGCCTGAGCAGAAGCAGAACCCCAATGCGGTCTCCGCCCAGTTCACCCCAGTCTGCATAGAGCGTACCTCGATTGATTTTAAAAGCAAGTCTTCTGACAGGCTCAGCTGTGAACAGCTAACCAAAATTGGCCGCCTGGTGGACATACCTGTGGCAACAGTCGCTTCTAAGGAGGAAGCTGCTGGTAACCTCTGGCCTGATTATTATCAGATGCTGATTGGCGCCGACCTCATTCCTTCGCTGCTGATGACCACTTCCGCCAGCCCTCGTGTCATTCCTATTACCTCCAATTTGAATGCAGTAGAAACCCGTCTGGGCTACTACCTGCAGGGCACTCAGTATGAAAAAACTTGATTCTATTTTGGACTCTTCAAACCAAAAAGAAGTTTTCTTAATGTTTTTCAATCTGTAATTATTTTGTAAATGGCTTTTTTGCATACATTGTTTAACTTAATCTTACACCTCCTTACATCTTTCATTTCATTCATTTTTAAGTTTGGAGTCCAAACTTTGGACTCTTAATTGCCTTGTCTAGAAAGAGAGAGAGAGAGAGAGAGCAGCGTTTTTCGAACTTCTGGAAAAGCTGATTCAGCTGAGAAGAACAGCAACAGCTGCTGTTCAGCTCGGTTTTTGTACAGCTCATATTTTCACCTCACTCCTTTTTCACAACCAAATCTTATTTTTCAATTTCGTGATCCATCTTCCAACTCCATCCTTCTCCTCCTCCTCCTCCTCATTCTCATTCAATTCCTGATGGCCGCCCAGCTGTTGATGGCTCGCCGAACTGGTCTGAGCAATTGGCTGGCGATGCCGCAGAAGCAGCCAAAGTCGAGTCCACCGATGATGACCACCAAACTGATGACCAGTGCTAAAGTAAACTCCTCAACAACAACGAACCAGCCTTCCTTTACCTCCCCACTAATCTTTGAACCAAACAGAACGGCTTTTCTTCGTGCGCTCAATCCTCCTCTTCCTCGTCTACCAATGGAAAGGGCAAAATGGTAGGTGATTCTGCTGTTGTAGTGAAAATCTTCATCAGTTTTCATTTCTACTTTGTTTTCCAATCGCTAGCCCCTCAGCTCCGCTCTCGGCCTGGGCCTAGGTCTGGGCCTAGGGGCACTTCTCTACACGGTTCACCGCTCAGTGCAGGCGTCGGACATCTACCAGCACCCGCCCCGCTACGGCTGGTACCACCAGCACCCGCTGCACTCCTTTGACCACAAGTCAGTTCGTCGCGGCTTCGAGGTGTACAAGCAGGTCTGCGCCGCCTGTCACAGTCTTCGTTTTCTGCGCTACCGCGAGCTGGTGGGCGTCTCGCACACCGAGGAGGAGGCCCGCGCCTTTGCCGAGGAGGTAAGCGGTTTGAGGAGTGGGGTTGAAGAGCCGAGGAGCCTTGAAGGGAGTCTAGGAGTTTAGAAGAGATTCAGAAGATTTGAAATCAAAACAAATCTCCCAGCTCTGGTCGATTTCGACCCACCACGGCTCTCCAGTGCATCGATAGCGGACGAAATAGAAACTTGAATAACTCGCAGCCAAAAAATGGGCCAAACACTATCACTTATTTTTCTTTCTTCTTCTTCTACTTCTCCTCCCCCCTCCACCAGAACAAAGTCCTTGATGGCCCAAATGAGGAGGGCAAGATGTTCCTGCGCCCCGGCCGCCTCTCCGACGCCCTGCCCTCGCCCTACCCGAACGAGGCCGCCGCACGAGCCGCCAACAACGGCGCCCTGCCGCCCGACCTGAGCTACATCGTGCTGGCGCGCCACGGCGGCGAAGACTACGTCTTCTCGCTGCTGACCGGCTACGGCCAGCCGGCCCCGGCTGGCGTCCACCTCGGCGCCGGCCAGCACTTCAACCCCGTCTTCCCCGGCGGCGCCCTCAGCATGGGCCAGACGCTGTTCAACGGCGCGGCGGAGTACTCGGACGGCGGCCTGACGCCGCCCACCGCCTCTCAGCTCGCCAAGGACGTGGTCACCTTCCTCAGCTGGGTCGCCCAGCCGGAGCTGGACACGCGTCACTGGTTGCTGGTGCCGGTCAGTGTCAAATTTGCTTTTAGTTTCTAAAAGTCCTCATTTTTTTTCATATCCTTTTCACAGGTCCTCATCATCGGCACCATCAGCTGCGCCTCGCTATCCTTCTTTCTGCGCTACAGCAAGATTAACACTAAAACGCGCCAGATTATCTTCCGCGCGAAGAACCTCTATACTGTGGCGAAGAAGCAGAAGAAGACGGAGAAGGAGGGAGTCTCGCAGTTGAAGTGAGCTTTGGAAGTGGTTAGTTTTTTCCGGTCAGTACGCGGTGCACTTGGTTTGTTGGTAGTGGTGAAGGAGGCGGATGAAGGACTTGAGCAACAATCTTTTTGTTATTTCTGTTTTGGTTTTGTCTTGAGTTTTGAAAATTGTTTTGCATTGTTTTACCTTCACTTTGTTGGCTGCTTTTTAAAAATGTTTTTAAATTTATTTTTAATAGTTAACTTAAAATTGCAAAAGCAAAAAGCAGCTCAAAGTAGAGGAAGTGCTCAGCTTCAATCAGGTTGAGCTGATTGCTCAAGAATGCCAATTGAAGTAGGCAAAGAATAAGTGAATGAATGAATGCTGATGCAGCTGAAGTGAAATGAGGAGAAATAAAAAAGTAATAACACACAAGAAGAAAATGAAAAAGCGAGAGAAATTGACAACGAAGCGAGTGTTTCTGTTCAGAGTCACTATTTTTTCTTATCTTTCTTCTTCGAATCCTTCTCTTCTCTTCTTGCCATCCTTCGTTCTGGCTATATTAGAGACATGAGCTTCCGGAGTTGCGATAATGATTTCATTCAAATTAAAAGCGTTTTTTCAGACTCTGTCACCTTTTGCTGAGGCTCTCCCCTTTGACGATTTTTCACTCTCTGCTGTATTTTTATCCCTACAATTTTACTTGTTGAAAATGTTAAGAAAACTTGATTGAAAAAAACAGAAAAATAAAATCAAGTTTTTCCATACTGAGTGCCCTGCAGGTAGTAGCCCAGACGGGTCTCTACGGCATTCAAATTGGAGGTAATAGGAATGACACGAGGTTTTGCAGCTTCTTTGGCCATCAGCAACGAGGGAATGAGGTCGGTGCCAATCATCAGCTGACTACCATAAGGAAAGATGTAATCAGCAGTTTCATCATCAGTTTCAGCAGTACCATCATCCTCAGCAGCACCAGCAACTGTCACCACCGATATGTCCACTAGGCGGCCTATCTTGGTCAGCTCGGAACAGGTAAGCGAATACTCAGACTGTCTATTAAAAACAATTGAGGTACGTTCAAGTCGAATGGAGGTGAACTGGGCTGAGACCAGCTGGTGATTTTGATTCTGTTCAGGCTGATACTTGCTCACCTCAACGTCATCCAGTTCTACCTGGACATCGTCAGCGTAGTGTATCACCTCATCTGGCTTCTCCGCCAGATTGAGCTCTCTAACCAGGGCAGCGCTTATGAAAGAACGGTTAGAGCCGGTGTCGATGAAGGCGTTCACCGTTTTAGTGATGGGAGTGCTGGTGGTGCTGGCAATGATTGGCGCCCTCACAGTGAGCGGGAGTGTAGGTGACGCCGTGTAGGACACTGAATTAAGGTGGCTGACAAGGAAAAAATTGTCCAAATTTTGACAACAAATTTTTTGAACCTTTCTAGCAGAGATGGTGAGCTCGAGCAGTGGCAGCAGCAGGTGATCGAAGAAGTGTACAGTGACTGTACAGCAGATGGGACAGTGAAACAAAAGGAAGCGATGATGAGGAGGAGTTTGAGCACTGAAGCACTGAGACAGAAAAGCAGTGAGAAGGAGAAGATGATACCAAAGGCGAGAACAAAGATGACCATGTCAAAAGGAATTCCTAAGATACACCCTATAAAATGAAAAAGAGTTTAATCAAACATTAAAGAAAGTGTTTTAGTTGCTTAATACATGTTCAAGTAGCACAAAAAATGTATGTTACTTACATGCGCATTCTTTCCAGCTCATTGGTGGTGAAGAAAATGTTAAAATGCGGCATAGTTCGTCTTCTTGAGTTGGTGAAAACATTTTTAACGTTTTGTCCTTGTTTTTTGAATAAAGTGCGTTTTTCATTTCTTTTGCTTTTTTCTTGCTCATTTTCCACTGTTTAAATTTCTCTACATCAAACTGTCCCATAAAGGCTAGTCCCATTTTGGTGCGAAAGAGCACCAGTGAGGGGCTGATGTGGTACGTCGGCTGGCGAGGGTGAACGTTAAAGTGGGCATTCAACAGGTCCTGACCGATGAGCATGTCCACGCGGTACTGAGAACTGCAAAAGAGAATATTTTAGTACATTTTTTAATTAAACAAAAATTTCACTAAAAACACTTACTTCCGCTCTCTCTTTGACCACATTGTCCTTCCCAGTCCAGCACTGGACACTATAGGCAGTCCCAGTGAGGCCATCTTCGACACCAGCAAACCAAAAGGCAAATGAGACCCCGACATGTTTGGTCTGCACTCTTCAACAAAGATCGAAGGCAGTGTCCACTCTGCTGCCTCATCTTCTACTGACTGCAACTTTACACCGACAACTTTTCGGTACTCTAGTCTCCATGGGCGTTTTTGAAAAGGGGCACAAAAGTACTGTGGCCAAATGTACTCACAACTGGCGCCTCCCTTTTCAAAGAGCACTGTGGCCAGGTCTCGGCTGATGGAGGAGCAAGTGGCTCCGGTGTCGAGCAGGCCGCGGAAGGTGACGGAGAATCCGGTGGAGGGAACGACTGCTCGCAGGAGAAGCGTAGGACGAACGGTACACTTTTTTGGTGGGCGCCAAAAGCGTTTGCCAGAATCAGAGTCGGGTTCAGCAAAGGTGCCCATTGACTCAGCGTACTTTCCCATTAGACGAGGGAACTGATCCGAAAGGCAGAGAAGGCGCAGGCAGGTGAAGAAGAGGTGTGCCCATGAGAAGGAGGAAATTGAGGAGGTGATCACNAGCGTACTTTCCCATTAGACGAGGGAACTGATCCGAAAGGCAGAGAAGGCGCAGGCAGGTGAAGAAGAGGTGTGCCCATGAGAAGGAGGAAATTGAGGAGGTGATCACAGTCACAAGGTTGAACAGGTGCATGAAAAAGCTGCTCCAAATGATGGAGGAGATGAGGATGCAGCTGCAACACGCCATAGCTTCGCAAGTTTCCTCGTGTTTTGATGGAATAAACAGTTTGTGTGTGTGTGTTGAAACAGTTTCACAAACAGACAGGATTGGACCTTAGCTAGGCCTGAGTGTAGAACCTGTTTAGAGTGCTAGCTGCTGCTGAGTTTGAGTAAAAAACAAGTTTTCGCACAGTTGGTAACAAAAAGTCTCAAGCTTTGTTAGTACATTTGGGGTCTTAATACAATAGGCCCATAGGGAGTTCTATTATCGTTCTTACCATTTCATGCTTTCACAAATGGTGCCCCGCAGAGTGAACCTCAGTAGAGAGCTACTCTCAATACCAGTGTTACAGACAGTGCCACATAATCACTGCTCAAGAGAATTAAAGTGAAAACACACATGCAGGCACACACTATTGCCATTTTTTCTTTTTTGGCCACTTCTGGTCAAGAAATTTAGTGGGTAGAAATAATCATGACTGAACTCAGATTTTTTAGTTTACCGAAAGTTGCTAGCTGAGAGCTTCGTTGTTCTAAAATTTTTTTGTTTTATTTCTGAACAAAAAAATCGGAAAAAGAGAAAGCAGTCAGCAAATAGCAAAATAAACTGATTTTTAAACTGATCTATTCAAAATACTTCTTTTACTCCTTTTCCTCCTCCTTCCCTCTCTACAGCTCTCTTCGCTCCCGTTTGTGCGGGGGTGAGGTATCACTGTGATCACCTTCTTGCTGCTCTTCACCACCACCACCACCAGCAGCTTGCTGACCTTGCTGACCCTGAGCCGGTGGTGAGGATGACGGTGACGGAGGTGGTAGTGGCCCTACTCGTATATACACTTCCGCACCTTCAGGGTGACCGGCCTCCAGTAGGTCCGCTTGCACCTCAGGAGCCAGGTCGTCCCATAGAAAGTTCATGAGCTCTTCTTCCACAGCACCACCACCACCACCACCAACGGCTGCCTGAGGAGAAGCAGGGGCGGGAGCGGGAGCGGGAGCGGGAGCAGGATAAACCAGAGCAGGAGGAGGCTGAGGAAGATTCATGGGAATGGGAGCGGCCAAAGCCTGAACCTCCCCCAATCGTATCGCCTGCTCCATGTTGAGGTGAAGCAGATTGGTGGCACGCCAGTGCAGGTACGGCTCGACGACCATCGTGCAGAAGACCGCCCGGACAATCTCCGCCCGCCGCATGGTGAACGCCGACATCTGCCCGAAAAGCCGGCGAAAGCGGTTCGGGTGCACCGGGTACGGGTCGACGTAGCTGAAGAAGATCAGGCCCATGGGACCATAGTGCAGGGCGGGTAGGACTGGGCGGGCCGCCGCTGGCCCTGCCCCCGCCGGAGTGTTTTCAGCAGAGAAAAGAGGGCTAAACTCCGCCCACAGGGGGACGAGCTGGTCGGGGGCGGGCGGCGGTGGCGGGGGCGGCACCGGTTGCGGCGCCCGGGCGGGCCGCTCGACCTCTTCCGGGTGGCCCAGGTAGTAGAACCAGGCGGTGCGGAGGTTGTTGAAGGGATGGTTGAGCGCCTGGCGGGGCGCGTAGTACAGCGGAAGGAGGTTGAGGTCGCGCAGAAAGAGCAACAGGTGGTCGTTGACGCCCATTCGGGCCTCGTTGGGGTGGAGGCCAAAAGCGGCTTGGAAGCGGTCGGGAAAGCGGCTGAAGATGAAGGCCAGGTAGGCGACCTCCTCTACGCGGTCCGGCTCTTCCTCTCCCAGGGGCAGGCGGTCGTAGCGGTCGTTGAGGCGAGCGGTGAGCGCCGCCTGCTCTGCTTCGTTCATGTTGATGTTATAGAGGTAAATGGAGTCCTGGTAGAGATTCAGGTCAAAGAGTGGTTCCCGTGCTTGGCCACCGCTTCCTCCTCCTCCTCCTCGGCCTCGACCTCTGCCTCTGCCTACTCCTCCTCCTTCCGAGGATTGGTAAGGGTAAAGGACAAGGAAAGCCAGTAAAAGTAGTAGCGAGTGCTTGCTAGAAGACATCACTTGATCTGGATTGTTTTTGGGTAATAAAATTTGGCAAAAGTAATTTGCCTTGGTAACTTTTTAGCAGAAAAAGATTTTCAGCAAATTTTTACCAAATTCTGATGACAACGCTCATTTTTGACTGTCAGCTTTTATAGATTGCTTTGACCTATTTTTATGGAAATTC